GAAGAAGAAGAAGAAGAAGAAGAAGAAGAAGAAGAAGAAGAAGAAGAAGAAGAAGAAGAAGAAGACAAATCCCTTTTAATGAAAGATTCTGATTTATAAAACCTAAATATCTGATTGGTAAAACTAAAGTTACCTGTAACTTTAAATTAGTTTTTAAAAACTGAGTATAACATGTTGCCTACTTCAGCCTGGGAATAATAAATTGTTTTATTTTACAGTACTACACAAATTTTGTGAATCGTGTGGCTGTAATATTGGAGAAATCATTAAGTCCAGATAGAAAGATCTGACATCAAAAGGAGAATGAAAATTATCTGCAATTGTCTCGTTGTTGTGTTGCTCAGCTGTACGAACAAAGTTCACAATGAAGACACTTTAAATGACATCTTCCTTCCAACAGAAGAAGAAGAAGCTAAAGAATGGACTAGGGTAGGGCTCGACGGCACGGAGTTTGCCCAGCACGCAGAACCTCCTGAATCTAGTCCAGGCACTAGTCTGAGCAGGCAGACAGACAGGAGACCCACAGCCCGTGCTCTCCTCTCTCCACCAAGAGCAAGGGTTAGGAAACCGTAAACTATTCTTCTCTCATGGACATTTGCCTTTTACAAAATGGAAAAAATCACCTTTCCAATTCTGAGCACCCCAAGGACAGTAAGCTTCACCTCTCTCCATTCTCAGTGCCAGATGATGGTAATAATCATTTTTCTAACCAAGCTCATCAGTAGATGGGAATCTGGGTTCACTGGAAAGTATGATTAACCACAGGCCACTACAGGTACCACATGCAGATTGCAACAGGAATGAAAATATGAGGGCGCTTATGTTCCCTGCTTCTTCAGAGGCTGTTTCTGAACCTAGTTATAACTTAGCGTGAACAGCCACAACCTTCTTTTCACAGGTAACAGGGCCTGAAGCTAAATATGGACCAAAACTGACTTTCTTGAGGCTTTGGCTTCACAGTCAAATACTTCTCAGGTCCTTAGTTTCTTTGTTTTGTCTTAAGAAGTTAAGATAAATGGCTATATTCTCCTCTATTATTAAAAAAAAACTATGTCAAATATTACCAAAAATCAAAAAATAAAAGCTTTTCAGGTAAAGCAGCCACATTCTCTTTAATTAATGTTATAAAAGCTGAGAAGGTGACGTGCACACTTGTCACCTTAGTTGGGGGTAGAGTTTATATACTCTGAGGGGCAAGAGTCAGAATGGGGGGTGGGGGAGGGAACCTGGCAAATGCTGCTGCTTTGTATCCTTTAGAAGAAAAAGGCCTTTCTAGCACCACAGACTATATTCAAGTACAACTTCTTCCTAATCCATGGCAAAGAACACGGTGCTCAAGGTGGATCTGATATGGAGAACAGCGTCCATCTATATTTAAGAGGTTCTCATTAGTAACCTGCAGAAGTAAACTGATCAATGCAAATTAGTTTCCACCATCCTGTAGTAATTTTTATATTAAATGGAAAATCATTAAAATGTGCTTAAAATCTTTCAACAATGGCTAAACAGTCTGATGGTTTTCTTCTCTGGTTTCTTTGTGTGTTTAGAAGAATTGCCTTTGGTGGGTGGCAGTGTAGTGGGTGTATGGTTGAGAAAAAGGCAGCCGCAAAGAAGCAGGAAAAGTGTGAACCTGGGAGATGCCTCAACCTTCCTGCCAGCTCTGGGACAGGCTGACACCTCCACGCGCAGGTTTGCATTAAAGACTTGCTTTGAAAAGCCCTCTCCTTAGGAGCAGTGACTTCTGAAAAGATCCATTATTGTCTACAAAATAAAGCACCTATAACACTGCGTCATTAAAATACTGAAAAGTTGACAGCTGTGTGAGTCAGAAAGACAGACAGACGTGAGAGAATCGTGGAGATCATTTATCCATCCAGGCTGACACTCAAAGCATTTGTAACTGGAGGTTACGATGAGAGAAACTGCCATTCCTTGTGAATACTCCAACATTCTATTCTTCCGTGAGAGTATTCAATCCAAACGCTATGAAATTCTTTTAAAAAAATAAAAATCCTCCCGGGAAATGTGACAGAGGAGCCAGAGCTGCAACGCTCTTTTGGACTTGCACGGATCTCACCTAGACCTGGCACACCCTGACTCCCAGGCAGGAAGGATCAGGGTCTGCTGCCAGCCTCCCCTTAAGCAAATGCTAGAAATCTGGGGAACCTGGCCTCTATAGCGTCTTTCTTCCCATCCTCTAATCTTTTCGGGAGGAAAAAATCAAACACCAAATTCACACTTTCAAACTGAAATGCTGAAAATGTTTTCCAACATACCATAGAACACACTTGGGGTGCAGTTTCCAGTTTTCCAGTCATTTCATCAACTCAGACCTGTTGTTGAGTCAACGTCTTATCCATAAATATACTTTAGATCACAGTTGCCCACCCGATATTCCTAAGCTCTGACTTAAAAACAGCACAAAGCCTGGCTCTACTTGGGGGCTAGGGAACCCAAAGAGCCCATTTAGACAAAGTGGTCCCACTCAGGCCCGTCTCTGGAGGAGACCAAGCTGCAGGGCAAAGCTCCTTCCCCTAGGTGCGAAGACCAACCTAAGCTTGGCGATAACTTGCTGTCAGAATTTCCAATTTTCTAGTTCAAATCTCGTGGCTTCTCAGGCAACTGTCCCTGAGGTCCTCCATAGGCCAACCACTTGCTGGGGCTCAGGATCGGGGCACCACCTCCTCTGTGCTCTCAGTGCTCCCCAGAGTCAGGGGAAGTGATAACAACCGCAGCCCGACCTGTGCGGCCCACCCAGCCCAGTTCCCGGATCATCTCCCGGATCCACGGACCCCAGCCCGGCCTTTTCGCAACTCCCCTCACCTCCCTCAAACTCAGACCCACGCTGCTGCCGCCAGGACGCCGGATGGCGGTTCCACCGGGCTCCTGGGTCTCTTGAAGCACAGGCAGCAAACCCCTGTCTCAGAGAGCTCCCCACGCGGCACCCCGGGCCACCTCTGCGACCTCGCCACTCCCGTCGACCCCGTCCACGGCCAACCCAGACTGGCTTGCTCGAGCTGTCTCACGCCGGAGATTTGCTCCCTCCGGGATGCTGACAACTCATCCAGAACAACTGAACGCCCTTCTCATCCAGAACAACTGAACGCCCTTCTTCCCTCTACGCGCAAAGGCGCCCCGGGGACCATCGCAGGCCCAGCCCCGGGCCGCAGAGTAGCACGAACCCCAGCTCTTGCCCACGCGCGACGGCTCCGGCCATCGAGCGGCAGGGCCGAGCTCCACGCTCCATCCAACCACCCGGGCGGGGTCCCCACCCTTGGGGACCAGGCTCCGACGCCCCCAGACCGGTTCCCGGGGCCGGCTCACCAAGAGGCTGAGCAGCAGCGGCGGGCTGCGGGGCGCGGCGGCGGCCATCGGGACGCGCGCGGAGCAGGGCGTGGGGGCGCTGTGCTCGTCTCCCGCCGCTCGTCGGAAGTCGCGGCGGCCTCTGCCCGGCTCGTCTGCCCAGGAGCTTGTTCTCTGCTGAAACCGGATTGGGCCCCGAAGACGCGGGAGGCCCCTCCTAGCTATGTGCCAAGTTTATCGGCGCCCGAGGAGCGAGGGAGCTGCCCGAGCCTGCCCTGCGCTCCGCGCCGCCGGGAAGGGACGCTAGAGCGCCGCTCTCTCGGAAAGCGGCCCCGGGCGCGCCCCGCCCCGCCCCGCCCCGCCCCGCCCTCACCTCCCGCGGGGCTGCCGCAGGTGGGGGTGACGTCCCCGAACCTCTCCCCGGCTCCAGGCGTCCAGGCAGCTGACGCTGCGCGGTGGGTTCCCAGCAGCAGGACGGACGCCAGGAGCGCCTGAAGTTTGGCCTGGGGGTGCTCCCCGCAGCGCCCTAGCCGATTCTGGGGAGCATCTCCGAAGTGAAACAAAACGCGACTAAACCACAGAAGGGAAATTAGGCGGGACGACGTAAATAAACTGGAATTAGGTGCGCTGAAAATTAAAGCAGAGCGAAAGAAATATTAATCTGACCATTTTTCCATATCCAAAAAGGGAATGGGTATATCAAGGGGCTTAACTGCCAGTTTTTTCTGGCTTTGCATGAGTGTCCCAAGAATTTGTTCTTATGTTTAAAGTATTGGTCTATTATTTATGAGGCAACTGTACCAAGATGAAATTTTTCAGTTTGTGGTTAAAGGAAAATTTACGGCACAAAATCAGCTCTAAAGTGATCCTAACAAATTCGATGTCCTTCATCAGTGCTCAGGTCTATCAAACAAACATTGCTCAAGAGCTAGAAGAAAGAACACACATTTTGCCCATCCCCAACCCAACCCACCCCCCAAAAAAAATCCTGCCTTGGGAGAAAAGAAAGGCTCTCATCATAGCCCAGTCATAGCCCACTGTGGCCAATTATAACAGGACATATTCCCTTATTTCCCCTTACAATGAATTGTATGTCTTCCAAGTTTCCAAAGGATTCAAAAGGAAATTCCTCTCAGAAATGTGTTGCTGCTCCTGAAAGTCTCCAAAAGTTTGGAGCTAGAACCGGGACACAGGGCACAGAGATCAGGAAAGGCTGAGAAGTCTCGGTTCATCCTACCCTGGGGACCTGGGCACCTGGGCTAACATTCCTTGTCCAAGCCTAAAGCTTGGGACTTCTCTGGACATCCTGGGCCTCAGCTCTCAGGACACTCAGAAGACCTTCACCTTCCCCTACTCTGAGGCCCACAAGTCTGTGTTTAAAGTGAAGAAAGCACTCCAGAGTCCACTCTGCTTTGTTTTCACCTGGTGTCTGCGGAGGTCAGGTCCTGCCCACAACCCCAGGGAAAGCTTCTCGGGGCTTTCCCAAGTGCAGCCAATCTTTGGACACGCAAGTTGAATTGGTTTTCTGAGGATAATGCCAACTTCAGTCTCCCTGCCCCATGAATTCACTGCTAGAGCAAAAGGCTGAAGAATTAAAGTGAAGAACCAGGCTTCAAAAAGAAGCCTTACAGAGGCAAGCAAGCAGCATCAACAGGGCAGGAGGAGCCAGAAGAGGCAGCTTCTGGCATCTGGAAAGCAGACAGGAGTTGTTCCTTCAGAATGGCTGAGTAGAAGAATGCCTGTGGCTGGGAATCAAGCTAGAAAGACAGGATCCTGATGAATCATGCCCGGAGGGTTGGGTTTCATCCTGGAAGAGGTGGAGAACAATTCATTCTGTATGTTAAAAAAAAAAAAAAAAGTTGCTAACTTGGGCACTGTGGCACACCTCTGAGAGGCTGAGGCAGAAGGACTGCAAGTTGCAGCTCAGCCTGAGCAACATAGTGATTTAACAGACCCTATCTCAAAATAATTAAAAAAAAAAAAAAAAAAGTCTGGGGATCTAGCTAGATGTGAGTGTCCTAGGTTGGATCCCCAGTACCATAGAAGGAAAAAACAACAGCTGCTAATTATTCTTACACAATTATCACCTTTGGTGAGTTCATAATGAACCTCTTTATCCCTTGTTAGAATTTCCCTTAATACCTATGGAGGGGGAAGGCCAGCGAGATAGCTCAGTGGACTAAGTGCCTGCTTTGGCAAGCAGAGGGACCAGGGTTCAATCCCTGGTCCTGCATGCTGCACTGGCTCTGACCCAGGGGCAAACTGAGCTGGCAACTGAGTCTGGGCATGGTGGCAGATGCCTGTAATCCCAGCTCTGGGGAGGCTGAAAACAGTAGGATCACTATGAGTCCAAGCTGAGTAGTAAGACCCTATACCAATTATATAAAAATGGAAAAAAAAAAACCTATGGAGCAGGGAGAGATTTTACTCTACTCTATGGTCCTAGTTTTTCTATCATTTCAACTTTATCTTCAGAGTTTGACTGGACTAAACCCTGTCGTTCAAATGCTTCAGCTATATTGTATAGAAGAGGATATTGTGAAGCCTACTATGAAAATTGCTTTAAGTTTCCACTTTCATTTTCTACAAAAGAAAAGTTGTAATAATCTATTCTAGAAATGCTGTAACAAAGATTTTCAATTTATATTGCAAAACTGTAGGTATAATGTGAATATTAAATAATAACTAACTGTAATATTAGTAACTATTAGAAATTCTTGCTTTGTTATAGTGTAAGTATATTAGTCTAAATCCTAATTGTAAAGTATGTTTATAATTCTTTAAAATATTTGAAGACTGTTATAACAGAAATGAAGATAAATTAATTATGTGCATTATACTTTAAAATAAATTTGTTGAAAATATATTAAAATACATTTAAAATAGGAGTTTGCCTATATTGACAATTATATGTATTCTATATTCAAAAATGGGAAGAGATATTAAATGAAAGTACAAAGCTTAAGGAATCCTGGTGAATTGCTTAACATTTTCAGCAAAAACCAAACCACAGAATCAAGGCGGGTCATCTTCAGGGACAAAGGAGAAATCTCTGTCAATGGAGAAAGCAATTCTTCTTTGGAGGTGGAGGCTGACCCCCAGCCCACGAAAGCAAGTTGCGTTGCACAACTCAGTGCCAGTAGGTCAAACACACCCATTCACATGCATGGCTTACATGGCCCATGATGTGGTTGGCTGCCAGGGCAGCCTATGATGTCTAAAACAAGTTTGCTAGAAAACCAAGTAAAACATACAAAAACAAAAAAAAAGAAAACTTTACAATAAAACCAATTACAAGATAGGTTTGAATAGTCTTTCTTGTAACACAAAACAAACTACATCATGGAATATTAGCTCACAAACACTTTTGGAATATCATTTAGAACAAAAAGTCACAGTATGGCTAAACACCTCCCATTAAATCCCCATAACACCACTGAAAGCAGCCTTAACTTTATTTTTTTTTAATTTTATTTATTTATTTGTGTGAGTGTGTGTGTGTGTGTGTGTGTGTGTGTGTGGCCAGCTCAGCCCACCAAGGGGTGGGGATGGCTGGCATGTGGAGCTGGGAGATTGAACCGCGGTCCCTGTGCTTTGCTTTGCTTAGCTTGTTCTAAGTAGGTGCTTTAGACCACTGAGCCATCTCACCAGCCCCAGCAGCCTTAACTTTAGTCATTTCAAAAACCTGCTGAGGGCTTCAAAAACTGGAATGCTTAAGGCAAGCGCAACCTATACACTGCTGTCCTACAAGAGCCTCTGTAGAGTTGCTGTCTACCTCCTTCCTCTCCTGTCTCCTCATCGCAAGCACACACCTTTGGCTCTAACCTCACCCCCACAGAACTCCATACCTCCTTTCTACAGCAAAGTGACCCCTGGCCTCCAATGACCAGATTCTCCTCCCCCTGTCAGGCAGGTCTCTTCACATGCTCTAGGATTAGCTTCTCCCTAGAATGACTGACAGTAGGGCTAGCCATTCTCATTTATAGAAAACACTTCTGTCTAAAGGAGTGGTGTCGCCCCACAACTTTGGCAACAACCATACAGAAGTCTGACAGTTGCACATTTCTCAAATTCACAATTAGCAGGCAGTTTTCCAACGTGTTGTGGTTATCACATTTGCCTCACACAATCATCTGGCCTAAGCGACACTACAACAGTGAATCCAATCCAGGTAGGGCATGCTAAGCTCAAGAAGGTGCCTGTCTGTTTGTCTTTATTAATGAATGAGTCAAGAACAGTTACAATGGTTTTCCTCTTCCTCCACCGAAGTCTTCAGACTCCCTTAGAAACACCCTCTTCTGCAGACACTCCTTTTAAGCAGGGAGGGACAGTGTTCCAGTGACTCCTCACTGGGCTGGAAGGAATGGTAACATCCACACAGAAAACAAGGCCCCATTGTGTAGATGATAGCCTCTTACAAAAACTGAGCAAAAGTGGTGAAACACAGCCTCGATATAGAGGGAGTTTTTAATACTTCTCATTTCATAGCAAATCATCTCATAAATCTTCATTGAGATTTCTTTCAGAAAGAAAATCTCTTCCTACTTGGTAAGGCTATAGATTTTCCCAGACTTTCTCATATCCCCAAGAGCTGTGTGTGTGTGTGTGTGTGTGTGTGCGCGCGCGCGCGTGTCTATCTGTCTGTACAAAGGATGTTGCTTAAGCACAAAGGCTACAGGTATGAGTGGGCTGACAGCCCGATTGCATGTGTCATTTATGCAGGCGTCATTCCCTGATTCACTGCCTCATCAGCCTTCTCTTTTCCCAGAAGTTTAGGAGGGCCGCCCCTCGACAGCGCACTGGGAAAGTAGCACATGCCCCAGTCAGGTGCCTGACACCTATGCAGAAGTAGAGAAGTAGCTGTTCCCAGCAGCTCCCCTTGAGCAAGACATTAGTTAATATCACCGTGATTCATTCATTCATTCATTCATTCATTCATTCATTCATTCCGTTTTCCTCAGGAGTAATTATGAATTAATTTTGTTTACCTCAAGATTTACTAATTTCTGTCTTTCCATCCTGTTCAGTTTCCCAAGTGCTTGTGTTATGAGATGAATG